CTGGCTGGGTGTCAGTGAGAAACTACTCGGTTGATTGGGCTGCCCCCTGGTTGCTTAGCGGCTGAGGAAGCGCCATCCTGTTCCCCTTTCAGGGCTGTGGGGACCGGAAGGTGAAACAGCGCTGTTGAAGACAGCCCACCAGAGGAGCCCAGGTAAGGAAAGACGACGTGATCGCCCAGAGCGCAGGGGAGAGAAGGGACCATCAGTGCCGGGCAGCAGTCAGCTTGGAGAATTGCTAACTGGGAAGCTGGGGAAGGAGCCCTGCTGTCTCCTGGGGGTTTCTTGGATGCTGTGGAGGGGAGGACGTGCTTGCACTGGAAGGGGGTGGGGGTCAGGGAGGTGGCAAGGGATGGGGAGGGTTGTGGGGGACTATTTGCCTTGACCCCTCCCCCCCTTTAGCATCTCCTCATCTGTTCTAGCGCAGGAATATGGGCGTGAGAGGATAACCCAACTTACATTCCCTTTCTCCATGGCAGGCCATCAAAGTCAAATGTGAACTTAAGTTCTCTGTGGCAGATTGCAGCGCTGGTAGGCAGACGGTCTCTTGGGGAAAATGTAATGTGGGTGGGTCGCTTTCACTTGTATTCCGAGGTGGGGGAGGGAATTTTCCACCTGGGGACCGCAGAGGTGGTGTTGGGGGGCGGGTGGTAACTGGATAACTAGTGACGGTGCTTAAGACCCTTTCCTTCGTTTCCTCTGCCCAGGCGCAGTCTTGAGGCCCTGGGATCTGCGACCCCCAGCAGGCAGAGGTTGACTGTACCCCAGAGGCGAGCTTATCCCCTGAGCATCTATTGCAAAGGCTGGGAAGTGAAATAAAGGCTAACACTAGTTACTGAACTTGTGTAAGAACCTGAAATAATGAGGAACTTTGTGAAGAGGGTATAGTTGAAACCTGAGACCATGAGGGTTAATGGCAATCTTATTACCAAAGATCCATGAGACATAACCCATTGAGCTCTATTTTTTTTTTTTTTTGAGCTCTATTTTGATAGCCCAATCGTGGCTGCAAACACCAGTTCTACTAAAATTTAAAGCAATAGTCATAGCCCTTCCTTGGAAGACGGGAAAGTGGGGATGGGTGTAAAAGATAAGCTTAGAACAGGGACACCTGCTAGCCCCTGCGGGTTGCAGTTGCCCATCTTCCGCAGGGTATTTTTAGGGTAGTGGGCAATATAAAATATACACAGCAGGTTATGCAGGAAGGTGGAGACTGACTGCAGACTGCTTCCCTCCTAGGTCTTACAGACCTTTTTATTTTTTGTGTTCTTTACAGTCCCTACTGAAATACAAGTAAGGCAAAGACCAGGAACCATTGTTTTGGGGATTCCTGAAGATATTATGCTTTTCTAAAAGCCTAGAACTTCTTGTTATACTCAGATACCCTGAATATAGATGTCTTTCATGGCTAGCATCATTGCACGTGTGGGTAACAGCCAGGGGAATGCACCCTTGCCCCCTTGGGCCCATTCCATGTTGAGGTCTCTGGAGAGAAGTCTTGGTCATTTAATGGTCAACATGGCAGAAAGAAACATGAAGTTGTTCTCAGGGAGGGTAGTTTCAGCCCAAGGGGAAGAAACCTTTGAAAACTGGCTGATCCAAATGGGGTCCTGCCAGATTGGAGCATGTCTGAAGAGGAAAAGTTCAAGCACTTGATGAAAACCCCTTAGGGGCCCTACCCAGGAAGTCACGCGTTTGCTCCAAGTGGCCAACTCCAACTAAGTGTGGCAGATTTTTTGCGGGACATGAAACTGACGTTTGGCGAGTCTGAAAGCAGTGTGACAGCTCATGGTAAATTTTTTAACACTCTGCAGGCACAAGGGGAGAAAGCCTCCCTTTATATGATCCATTTAGAAGGTGCAGCTCCAGAATGCTATTCAGACAGGTATCCTGGCTGAGAAAGATGCAAACCAGACTCGCCTGCACCAGCTCCTTTTAGGCGCTGAGATGACTAGGGACCTGTATTTCAGGCTTAAGCTTCTCAGGATGTACACAAAAGATAAGGGGCATCTTCCTAGCTTCTGGAATTAATCGAGATGAAAAGGAAGGAAGAGGATTGGGATGGCACTTTTATTAAATGCAAGAGGCCCAAAAGATCTGAGCCAACAATGAGAGGGAAGCCAGTCCTGTGGCGTTGCAGGGCCCCCAGCCAGTAGCAACGGGCAGTGCTGACCACAACTGTACCGTGATAGAGACAGATGAGGCCCTCTAGGACTCAGGTGAGGATGTGATCTTGGTGGAGTCCTGGGACCCTCCGCTTTCATCCTCAGGTGCTCCTCCCCTCACAGGTAGGGCCAGGACCCAGGAGCAAGTGCTGATCGTTAATTCCCTCAGTAATTCCGGGGTTCAGTCTCTCTCCACCAGTGGTGGTTCTGGGTATAAGAATGATGATCCTGGGGATATGCAGAGATCCAGGAAGCAAAAGTTCATATTACAGTGAATAGGAGCACTCAAAAGAAACCTGTGACAATGAGAGCAGTAAGGCCCAGGTTTTTGAGAAACTGATTATCATTCTAAGGAGCTGACATACACAGCGAAGTCAACAGAGGTCCTTGGAGACCAGAGTGACCTATCAGAGCCACAGTAAGGTGCTAGACCCACCCCCAAATGAACCTTTAACTATATTCAGAGTCTGATGATAGGAAGAACAGGGGTGGTGTGGTCATATTCCAACTGCATCAATGAATCCACTAAGCAGTTTTACTGTGGGAAGAAAAATTGGTCTTACGGACCAACACAGTGGAGAGGGATGGCCTGATCTCTGACCCTGCTCCCTCCTCTGCTTGCCTAAGGGTTTATTCTCTGTGTGTATCTGTTTTTTGGTGGCTTTATTCTTTTTATGAAAGGAGTATCTCTTTGTCAGACCTTCAAAAAAATGAAGGAAAGTACAAAAGCTCAAGTACAAATTGCCTGAGACTCTCCATGCTTAGTCTTTCTATAACCATTGTCAGCCCTTGGGTGAATATCTTTCTATATATTTCCCTGTACATGGATACCTACATATATATATGTATAAAGGTTGTCAGATATAAGTGTTTTTCTATACTGTGTATTTTTCACCAACTTATCTTGTATATTTCTATATCAATTAATATATATACACATATACATACATATATATGTACATATGTATGTATATGTGTATATGTGTGTGTGTGTATATATATATATATATATATATGTGTGTGTGTGTGTGTGTTTTAATGCATGTGTACATATTACTTTTAGGAAGATAAAGGAAAAATAGGGTCAATTGGTGGCACGGTGGTTAAGGCATCTGGATTCCTAATGGCCAACTGCACAGTAGAGTCCTGGACTCAACAGCTTTAAAACACACTGTCAAGACCAGAAGTTGGAGTAATGGCTATGTTGCTGGACTCCCACGTAGTTGACTGTGGTTCGAGTCCCAGACCTGGTGGCTTAAACTCATGCCTTGTGCATGTACGTGCGTGCCCAAGATCCCAAGAGGATAATGGAGGAGAAGGGATTGCTGAGTGGCCATCCTCCCTGGGGGATGATTTCTCGTTTTCTCTCTGTCTCTGTCTGTCTTTCTGGCAAGTGCATGCGCTCTATAGAAAAAACTACTTCAAAAAAAGGAAAAAGTGAGAAATCACCCCACAGGGGAGATGGCCAATCCCTTCTCCATTCTCCTCCTGGGATTTTTGGCATATATGCCCCAACGAGGGAATTTCAAGCTGCTGGTTTTGAGACTTAAACCATGTTGGCTATGCGGAAATATAGCACCTTAACCGCCACACCACCTGCTAGCTCCAACTGTATCTGTTGATGAGCTGAAGAAAATTTAAAGTTGAATAAATCTGTCAAACTATTTCCCAAATTGGCTATACCATACTGTATTCCTAACAGCAATTTATAAGTTGTAGTTGTTCCATGTCCTTGCCAACACTTCTATTAGTTAGAAAGTCATTTTATATTTAAGCTATTTGAGGGTTGTATAGCATTTTTTTCATTGATAGTGTTAACTTACATTTTCTTTTTTTAAAAAATAATTATTTAATTTAATTTTATTTATTCATTTATTTATTTTTAATTTGACCATTCCCCATGGGGAGTGATCTCTCTCTCTCTTTCTCTTTGGTGAGCACATGTGCCCTATAGAAAAAAAGGCAAAACAAAACAAATTAGATACACATACGTACACACACACACACACACACACACACTCACACCCACACCAGGTGCATGTGCGTGCATATGCATGCATGTCCAATATCTGAAAGCAGAGAAGAACTGGGGGGGGGGGGGGCTTTCTCACTTTTCTGTTCTTTCTCTGACACATGCACATGCTCTCTGACAAAATTTTTTAAAATATAAATAAAGTGAACTGGAGAAGTTATAAGGGGAGCTTATAAGGTAATATGGAGTTTTTATCAATCCATTTACCTATTAGGAGAAAGGAAGCTGAAATGAGCTGAGTATCTCCCAAGGAGCATCTTATCACAACCGACCTGTCTCCTAGGTCATAGAGCCAACCACTACACACACTTGATAATAATGCCCAACGGTTTCTTCGCCAAAGTATCCTGATAAATTTGACTATTTGGGGGCAGCAAAAATAGGACATGAATATTCCAGAGGCTCCACTCCTGCTCACTTTGGGAAGGGGCGCCTACACCTGCCCTGCATCTCTTGGCTTTAGATTGGAGGATGATAAATGTTGATCTGTGACCTCTGTCCCTGAGGGTCCCATGTTCCTTATAGGTACATCAGTCACTAACCTCATGAGCAAGACAAGACTGGTGGGAGATGACTCATTTAAGGCAGGGAATGAAGTGAAATCAATGCAGACCTGAGGGAGTTGGTTGGTCAGGAAATAAACTCCACCAGGCTGAGAAGGCAATAGGTATAGTAGTGGGAGCTGGTATGGTGGGGTGGCAAAGCCTAGAGCTGTGTGCCTAGGGAGATAAGACACAGGGAAAGGACACGAGGACCAGGCTGGAGACTTTACAGCTAGACCCAACAGAGGCAGGAAGCTGGGTAGGAATTGCACACTCACAGGTTTCAGCAGAACCCTGAGCTATGTGGTCTCCAAGGGAGGGTGCTGAGACTGATCATGCTAGCAGGTGATGGCCAGCTCAATAGGGACAAAAGAAGTGGTGCAGGCTGAGGGCACCCAGAAAGTGCTACAAAAAGCCCAAGTCAGCCTTCCCTGGGCCCCACCCAGAACCCGCCTTGAAGTGCTTCTTCCAGAAGTTGCCCCCTGCTCTGCTCCTCCCCAGCCTCTTGATCCTGCTCCAGCCATCTCCGTACAATCTCACCTTGCAAACCACCCCCTCTCCTGGAGCCACGTTCATCTCTTGGTGGAGGCTCAGCCTCCTGAGCCCTGCCCATCATCACTTTCCCACCCCCAGAGTATTCCATGTCGGCTTTAAGCCTCTATCGCCTCAGCCCTCCTGGTCAGTAGACTGGGAGGACACCTCTGCCTCTGGCCCTTCAGCTGAAAACTGACTGGGAACAAAGTCTTAAGAGGCCCACTCCTTGTCACCTTCTGGGGTACCTCTGACCCCCCCAGCAGCCATTTCCATCTCTCCAGAGCCAAAGAGGACCTATCTTCCACAACCAGGTATGAGGAGGCTCTGGTCAGGGCCCCAAGCCACCTCCTCCATCCCCACAACATTCCCCAGCTCTTACAGATTTAAGTCCTTTATTCCTCCATTAGTCTACCTTGGGAGGGAATCTGCTCATTCATTGATTCCAGATCAGAATATCATTCCATGGGACCAGCAGTTAGCGTAATGGCTATGTCGCTGGACTCCCACGTAGTCAACCGCGGTCTCGCGAGCGCACGCGCCCTATAGCAAAAACCTCTCTAAAAAAAAAAAAAAAAAAAAATATCATTCCATTTTCTGCTTCTGTTGCCTCAATTGTACTCTACAAATGCTATTTACTCAGAGAGACAGTTTTATGCTATCATAGTTTCTGAAAATGGTTGAGTCAAAAGAGACAATAAGGACCAGCTCGTGGTATGGAAGCTAAGGTGCTGGATCCCACATAGCCAGCTTGAAAATCACACCAGGCATGTGTGCGCATGCCCAAAATTCCAGGAAGAGAATGGAGTAGTAGGGATCGTGGCATAGCCGTCTCCTCTAGGGGGTGATTTTTCACTTTCCCTTTTTCTTTTCCAAGCACATCCACTCTATAGAAAAACCTAAAGGGGGGCGGGGGTAAAAGCTATGCCTATCACCACACCCTTTTCATCAGGGTTAGCTGGAAGGTTCAGTGTAGATCTGCTTTGAAAACCTGCTCTGTAATTTTCTTCCCTTCCAATCCTCTTTTGTGTAAACTTCAAACTGTCTAAATTTTTATTTCACCAAAATGCTGCAAAGTAGATATTTTTTTATTTCACCTTGTGTAATACTGGCTTTTCCTTTATTCAGGAAATACGTACTTTCTTTCTTAGAGAGGTTTTTGCTATAGGGTGAGTGCGCTCGCCAGAAAGACAGAGAGAGACAGAAAGCGAGAAATCACCCCCCAGGGGGGATGGCCATGCCACAATCCCTTCTCCTCCATTCTCCTCTCAGAATCTTGGGCACGCGCACACACACACACCGGGCGTGAGTTTAAGCTGCTGGGTCCAGAATTCCAACTGCGATCGACTACGCTGGAGTCCAGTGACATAGCCATTATGCTAACTGCTGGTTCCAGGAAATACATATTTTCCCTAACTGGAAGACTGGGGCTTATTAATGAGGTTAAGCAAAAGGCAGCTTTTGAAGGATTTTGTGTGCAATCCCCTTCATTTAAAATGATCATTTTTTTCCCTCCCTTTCTCCCTTCATTCTCATTCACCGCTAAGCGATGAAAATTACTCTTTTGTCTGGTCAGGAAAAACTCGCCTTTGAGTGACCTTCTTTTGCACTACCTCCCTCCTCGATACCATTTTCCCTTGTTTCCATAGCAGTCCTCTCACGGCTTTCCCCTTCCATGGGGGTCTTGGTGGTGCCAGCTTCTTGGTCTCCTTTGCTGAACCTTCTCTTCCTGATCCTCCCATAATAGTGATAAAAATGAAAATCACTACTGTGATTCATTGAAAGCTAATTCTGCACCAGCTACCCTGTGCCAGGTCCTTTAAATGCATTATTAGCTTTTTAATCCTCATAGCAAATCCCTTAAGATAGGAATTACTATTTCTAACTTACTATAAATATTAATTTAATTCTTATTAATTGACACATGTTTCAGATGAAGAAACTGGCTGGAAAGTTTAAAAACTTACTTAGGGCCATGTCACTGTTAGTGGTGAAGTCAGGGATGAAATACCAGACTGATCCTAAAGCCTGTGTTCTTGACCCGAGCTGGCTTACATGTGCACAACGCTCTGTCATGTAGGTGTTATTATTTATACATATGACCCATGAGGAAATCGAGGTCTACATAAGTAGCCAAATGTCATAGCAGCTAGTGGCTTGTATGCTGCACACAAAGCAAATCTTTAAGGAACCCTTGTGTTTGGGGGACCAGCAGATGATGTAATGGTTATGTTGCTGGACTCCCACGTAGTTGACCCTGGTTTGAATACCAGACCCAGCGGCTTAAAACTCATGCCAGGCACATGTGAGTGTGTGC